GAGACGAACGGGACGCCTGCGGATGGGACCGTCGTCTCCTGCAAGTCCGCCACCGCCAGTCCTTGTGCAAGCATCCGTCCTATGGCAGCCACTTCGAGCCAGACATCCGGGTGAGTACCTGCCGTCATCTTTACGTTGCAACCTTGGCATTCCATTGCAACGCCTTCCCCATCGCGTGCTCCTACTCGCCCCTTTTGTACTTTTCTCCCAACCTTCACGTCGTGCCATATCGCCCTTTGCTTCACGAAGGTTATCATATTTCACCGACCACCTTCTGCTGACATAACCCCGGGCACATGCCGCATTCTTTCCGCTCACGAGCCCTCGTCGTCTCGATCTTTCTTCATCCCATTCCGCTTACATAGAGAGCCACCCAGAGCTAGCAGCACTAATGACCCTGCCCTTCTTCAGGCACTCCCTCAACCTCTCAACGCCAACGTACGAGTCCCTCACCGCATTTTCCGCCAATGTAGCAAGACCACGACGGTCAAAAGACGACAATCTCCCCCCTGTTCCCCTCCCATCGCCCTCCACAGAACCTACCGCCCATGGTGTGTTTCGACGCATCACCAACAAGCTACGTTCCCCCACCATCCCCCATGGCGAAACATCATCCAAATCGCGACCAAATCCTACGTCTGCCTCGCAGGCAATCTCGACCCCTGTGCTATCGTACTCCCAGCGAAAAGTCAATCGAAGTCGCAGCCGTGCCCGCACATGTGAATTAGCCCACGCAGCGGACGCGCCACAGCCCCCCCTCACTTTTTCCCCTAGGCCTAGGCCGTCGCTGCGGCTCCCTAGGGGGCCCGTTCCCAACACCTTGCAGAATTCCTTCACATCCCCTGAGCAGCGAGAGGCTGCCTTCCGTGCGCTCGGCCTCAATCCACCCCCAGCGACATCGAGGAAAAGCCGGTATAGGGATGCAGACGGCTTCATGATCCCGTTGAGCGAGCAGGAGAAGGTGCTTGACCAGCGATATGCCGTTGTGGTCGAACAGAACAAAGGAGAGTCCGGAGATGACGCTGAGTCCGAGGCGAAGAAGATCAAGGAAGCATGGCTGGCCCAGAATACCGCCAATCGGAAGCAAGGACAGGGCAAGGAACAGGAGCAAGAGCAAGCGCCTCCCCTCTCTGCTCAGGACCCTGAGGAGTCGGAGAAGCAGCAATCAACCATAAAGGGAAAGCCACAGCCCAACCGACATGAGATCATGCGAGAGGAGATGGCGCGCTCGCGTGCAACGCCCGTCGACTTGCCCGTTCTCAAACTATCGGAAGCGGACCTGGCTGCCCCAGACTACAGCGCGATACTCGAAGCAATCACCATCCCGCCAAATCCAGAATGTTTACGGCGGTCCATGGTGCTACCGGACCTACCACCACCCCCGCCTCCTGTGCCCGACAAGCCACAAACCTCGACAGAAACCCGCACCCGCCGTCGGAGCGACGTCTCTGAACGGCTGTCCAAATGGCTGCAATCCGCCGTACCGTCGCGATCCGCCACAGAGTCGTCAACCACACGAATGTCGCTCCTCGGGCGCGCGCATATGCGCAACTCTGCCGATAACCTGGTGGCACCGAGACCTGCAAGCCGGGGTTCGGACCGCGAGCGTGGACGGCGGCGGCTGAGCATTGATAGTCTGTTCTCTCGCGCGAGGTCGCACAGCGTCGGGGGACGGTCGTCGTCAGCGGAGACACCTGCGCACTCGACTCCTCGTCCGCCGCTGACACCGCGCAAGCCATCTGCAGTCCCTCCCTCTTCGTTCAAGGGCGCGCCGGAGCAGCCTCCAGTCTTACTAACGGCGTCCCCACGTTCCTCTGAATCCCGAGCCCGTGCCAGCCCCGTCCATCGGCACAACCCCCAATCGTCCGTATCGACATCCAACTCCCTCGACAGCATCCTCGACAGCGCATCATCCCAGCCGCGCCTCTCACTATCACACGCACACGGACACCGGCGCGGACGCTCCACGACCGTCTCCGACCTGCAGGCCGACCACGCGCTCGCGACGCCCGACAGCGGGCTGTCGGCGGAGAGCCGGGCGCGCGGGGCGCCGCTGCCTGCACTATCACCTACGCGGAGCGCGTCGTCGTGCACGCCGAGTGAGCCGGGGCTGCCCACGACGCCGACGACGCTGTCGCACTCGGGAGAGTGTCAGCGCGCGCGCCGCTCGCAGACGACGTTGCATGCGTGTGGCGAGGCCAAGGCGCAGGCGGTGTATGCGCGCGAGGAGGATGAGAGCGAGGAGGGGCCGGCGAGCCCGGGCGTCGCGGGGCTTGGGTCGGGGTACGCTGCGCGGATGGAGAGCGAGGCGCAGAAGATGCGAGAGCTGATGGCGGCTGCGGCGTCGAGGTCGCGCACTCGGAAACCGAGCCAGGAGAGCGGACGGAACAAGGCAGCGGGGTTGGGTATTTTTGGGCATAAGAGCGAGGGTGCAGAAGTGAGTGTCGCTTTTTATTGTTGGTGGTGACGTGTAGTTGATTGACTTGGGGCTGTGCAGGAGGCACCAGCATTCAAGAACCCGCGCTCGATGAACTCGATGCAGAACATCCGGCGGAACGTCGTCGGCTCGCTCTCCATCCTCCGGCGGCAGCGGTCCACTGTCGACCGCACCAACTCGGACTCGAGCGCGAACCCAGCGCAGTCGCCCGTATCGCCCATCTCGCCGCCGTCGGCGTTCTCCGCAGTTCCACCGTCGTCGTTCCCCGCTGCGCTTCGCAGGAAGGCCTCGGCAACACGCGACCCGAGCCCCGGCGCGGCGTCGACAAAGTCAACAGTGGGTGTTGGTCTGCGTCCGCGCCAGGCGCTGAGCCCTACGATTTATGATCGCGGGAGCATCCTTGCGGAGGCAGGCAGGATCGAGGATGAGGAGAGTCGGAGGCTCAGCGAGGCGGTCTTCCTTGATTACTGAGTCTGTGTTTTGTTCTGGCGATCGAGCTCGATCAGCCACTCACTCATGATCACTTTTTTCGTTGCGTTCATTCTCATCAGATGGAAAGATCCGTTCTCCTTGCGTATCAGTTTCCGCTCCTACTATCATTGCTGTCTGTTCAGTGTTCATCTACTACCATCCGCCACCGCCCGCGGGCGCTGTATCATCGCTATTCTTACACTTGTCCCTTCGCATCATCTTTGGACGACCTCGCCGTTCGTCATCACTCTTTCTCTGCATGTCTCACTTACGGTTGTTTGTTTGCTCTCTCTGTCTGTCTCTCTCACACTCCATGTACAAGCCGGGTTGGCTGCTTTTTCGTGACTACTGTAGACCTCGTTAGGGAATTACCTAATGTACATGGATAACATTCTTAAAGCTCCGGGTCTGTGCTTGCCTTGGATTGCATTTTTGGGCCGAAAGTGCTCTGGGAACAAGCGATGCACTTGGTTGGCGAGCGCTAATGTCATGGCAGTGTGAGCTATAACGTTCTCCATGTCTGCGCTACTCATCGAGTCTGAATAAAGCCATTACCTGGTCGACTGGTTTGCATCGGTGGTCTCTTCATGACCCTGCAGTCTTGACTATTAGCTGTCACTATACTTGGGGTTGTGGTCGGATGATGATCGACTGTGCAGCACGAGAGCAAGTACTTGTCTGTGCGAAATGATGCCGTCTCGGTGGCGTCGGGTCAGAGTCGGTTGACTGCAGCTGCAGCGTGATCGTACGCATAGACCTCTTCAAATGCATTGTGATCATATCGGCAAGAGTGCCTCGTAAGTACCAATCCTACATTCATCCTCTAATAGTTGTATCACAAAAGATTCTCATCTCTAGCATCCGTTGTCTATGTTGTGCTTCCAACTTGCCATCACACATCCTAAGACCTAAAGATGCACGCACAATTCCGAAGCATCCATGAGACTTAACACCGTCAGAGCTTGTCGATGCGTTCCCAATTCGGCATTGCGCCTTTGCCTTCTTCCACGTTCTTCAGCACATAGTCTGACCGCTGGAAGAGCTCCGGGCCATACTGCTGCTCCCTCATCCACGACTCTAGAGTATGGCCCTTCGGGTTCACCTTCCGGATCCAGTCATAATCCTTCTTGACGACATCGTCACGCCACATCGCCCACCAGCACTGGAAGTTCTCCTTCCAGGTGGTCGAGCCATCACCATAAGTCCGCTCGTTTGCAATGGGGTAATCAACGCGCTCGAAGTTCTCGAACCACTCGTCGAGCGATTGGTGGATGATCTCCGCCTTTTGGCCTGTAACGCGCTCGAACGTAGACTTCAGATATTCCCACCCAACCCAGTCGCTAGCGATTGACAGGTCCTGGCCAGAGGTGCCCTCGCGATTGTCGAATGTGTACCGGGCAAAGAACCCGAGGTCGGATAGCGCTATCATGGGCGCGTGGCCGTTTTTTATGGGCATGGCGAAGACAACGGTACCATCTATCCTGCGCTTGAGCGGTCCAAACATTATCTGATATCGTTGAGTCAGTTTATTGTAATAGTGCAGTCATATTGTGACTCACATTTTGGAGCATATCCATGTAGGGTCCCGACGTCACGATAGTCCAAGACATGTCGGTATCGCTAACCACCGACGGTTGTGATTTAAGAAAGTCCGCTACTATCCCTTTCCCATCGGAGTGTTCACATCTGTATATAGGGTTAAAGTCCATCAGCTATGGGAAGCACGTAAGTCGTCAGCGCCTGCTTCCCGCCAGCGTGAGCTGACGGACCTTTGATGCATAATCAAGGCTGCTCCAGACATAGTGCTTGATGCGAGCCTGCCTGGCTAGCTCGTAGATCCTGATGCCACACCAGACTTCCTTCTCTATGCCCACGGTAAAGCCATCCGTATTGATCCACGCGCCGTATGCACCCTTCAAAGCGACCGCAACGGAGTCGAAGTCGTCAAACTTTCCTATCGATCATAAGGACATTCATTGGAAGCCAGAGGTACAGTATCGATCATCGTCACCTTGAACAATCTCGACGCCCTGCTCGGCCAGTGCCTTCGCTCGTTGACTTTGCGGATTACGAGTGAGAGCACGAACCGCATACGGCGATGGCGAGCCATCCTCACATGGAGCTAGAAGTTTATCGACGACGGCCAGGCCCTGTGCCCCAGTGGCACCAATGACAAGGATCAGCTTCTTCGAGTCGTCTGAAGTGGGTGTAGACATGACAGGGGGCTCAAATTTCACGAATAGAGGGCCTCTGGTCAGGACTCTGTCGTTCGCTTTCTCCGTTTTATAGTACATGCTGACATACGTTCCCCAGGTCTTCGACTCCGCAATGCGCGCATATTTCCGCACGGAACCTCTATCTTCGGACATGATTACGCAGCTTCGGTCTTCTGAGCTCAATGGAAGCGTTTCGCTGGACCGAAGATTCGTGGTCGAAGCAGAAAATGGCGCCTTTACGCCTTCTCGTCGTGCCGCCGACTACCGTTCGCCCACCTTGACGCTGAATAAGCTGACCTGCGCCACCACGCCAATAGGCTCGATCAGTGCCGGATCGTTGAAGCTTCAACGACACCGTTCATGCGTTCGTGTTGGAGCTTATTCAGCTATCTGCGGCGCTTATGGAACGCGAGCCGTTAGGCGCGCATTGTGAATACATAAAGAAGTCGTACCGGTAACTCGATCAGGCGCCGCAATATTGTCCACCATATCCGCACTGCGCCCGGCGTCCGGAGTGACGTCTCTTGCAGTCCGCAGGAGTGTATGTGCGACTAAAGTACGCAGAGCACAGGGATATAAAGCTTTCTGACGATCAATTCGTTCTTCGTTCTGTCAAGAATGGCCTCAGTCGTGCAGCGATGCACCGAGCAGCCTTGGCAAAAATGATTCCAACATTAAAGCAATTTCGGTTGATTACTCAGGTACTCGTCGCGGAAGCCGTCTGTGAATACACTTCGCAGGATGTAAAGCTGTCCACAAAGCGCATGACAGCTTCCTCGGTCATGACTTCGGCCATTGTACGAGGCCTCGCAATGCTTGAGGCAATGGGCAACGTGTACGTTTATCGCCGCGGGATTACACACTCACTGGCACCGCTAATGGGGATGTGTGCGATGATAGCTGACCAAGACCCCCTTTCAGGCCGCTAGCCGCTATCTGGCTAGGGTTAGGAGAAAGCAGTCTGCTGTCTTGCCTTCAATGGGCGCTCGGCCAGCTTCCGAAGTACGTGTTGCGACTGCAGATTGCATCTGGTATCACCTTCGCTATGTAACACATACGCAAGGGGATGCACATCTGGCGAGCTCGCGCGGTCTACTGGGTACTCACTTCACGATGTCCTCCAATGTGCCCTTTGCTTACTACGCATGGGACGAAAAACATGAAAAGGCTACTTCCCCGTCGGCGGATGAGACAGTTCCTTCGAATTTTCGCAGGCTTTTAACTCGAAGGATACGAAAATCCTACGCACCGGACCTATGCTGACAGTAGTAATCGATACTGCTGAACGAATTACTCGGACATGTACATGAGCATGAAAGATGTGAGCAGTAAAGCTCACCTCTTCGGAACTTCTGTCAATTGAGCCATAGCTATCTACCTTCCTGAATCGCTGGATCCTCAAGCGGTTCTTTCGAACCGGAGACTCCGCATTCCAGCCATTCACACCGTGCCTTCAGTGCGTCCGATTGCTGCAATCATCCCACGTGTCAATACTTATACGATATAAGTATTCAGTATCGATGCTGTTGCACCACTGTGCCCACAGTCTCATCCTGAAATCTTGCGATGACAACCGACGCTACTGTGCGTTTTGATGCGGGTATTCAATATTCAACACTCAGAGAGCTTTGGTGCGAGCAGCTCGCTTTGATCCTGCATGCCGAACCCGGACGACATTCGCCTCGTGGCTTGACGTTGCGGACGAATGAGAAGACGCAATCGATGGTAGCAATTCATCTCCGTGGAATCCAACATCGCTCGTAGTCTAGCTATTATTGCAACGCACATTGCCCTTGGTAGGCTTCTGCTAGGAGCATTGTGAAATGCTTTGCTTCATGTCCTGGATACATCACAGGTTAGGGGGAGTTCCCTCCCCTGAGCTATCTAAGCTATACAGCGTGAGCTGCCTTGTATGTCGCCGATAGCATAAGCTGATCAGCCAATCATCCACTGCAAGTGCACGCTTGCTGAAAACTAATTATCTTGAAGAGAGTTCGAGCCAAAGTTCGACGAAATGTTTGCGCTCGGGGCTCTAGGTCTCTAGATGATCTCCAGACCTACGTCAGGGCAAGATTCCATGCACATACGGAATCGGAGTAGCGCAAATACTGTAACCCCGTGCTGAGGCCAGAGAGATCACCCTTACATTGGGATACTCACTGTGTTGGAAGTCATACGGACTTTATGTCCAGTGGGACACGGACTTAGACATTCCGCGCGCATTCGCTTATGTAATCACATAGCCACAAGCGCGCTCAATCTTTTCCTACTACCTCAGCACTCGCATTATACATCGAGGCTGAGGTGAGTACCTACTGGACTCCTTTACTTAGTCTTTACTGATATACTGTAGTCACTCGCTTTCCTACGTGTCTACAGGTATTTATAGAGCACTCGCATCATACATCGAGGCTGAGTCACTCGTTCCTATGTGTCTACAGCCCTCGGATATTTTCACCTCGGACAATAGGTTATGAGCCCCGCAGCTACACACTAACCTGTCCATTCATTCAAGCTTCCACTGTGCTCACAATCCTTTAAATCTTCTCTCTTCGACCAGCACCCACACCAGCACCTCCTGCACCACAGTCTACACCTTCTCACTCCACACCCTCTCACGCCATGTCC